GATGAAAATCTATTTTTAGCTTAAAGGTTTGAGGAAAACAGAATGTTTAAACTTAGTTAATGCAGTCAAAACAATGCAAGCAATATAAAGTCGTTTTGCATGAAATATCTAACAAGTGTGATAAAGCAAATAAGGATCTTAAACTTGAGAACCTTTTTTATTTCTCACTGTAAAATTTAATCTCGATCTTGCATAACTTCATGTTTTGATGGTATTTAAGCTTGCATAACACTACCACCTGACATTTTTGGCAGGCGACTCTAAAAACCGGAGGTAAATCTGTACCATCAGTAATTAATGACATAATTTATGAGATATCTTTTTATTGATCTTAAACATGGCAGCCAAACAACTAAAAAATGCATTTGACATTAAAAGATGAACCTATTCAAATGAAAGTGTCCTTACATTAAGGTTGAGTTTCTCCTCCATTCTATCATTTACATATTTTTTAAAATCATATACAAGTTAAATGTTATTAAGACAAAAAAAGCATGATATTATTTCTTGGTACACAGTAAAATGAAAAAAAAAAACATCTTCCCAACATATGATTTTTTCCCCTTTACATCTAAACAAAATGATAATTTCATTTAAACAAAGCACCTCTGACCAGAACCACAGAAAGAGGGAATTAGTTTAACTATTTAACATAGAAACTTAACACATAGAACTAGAACTACAGAGTAGAAAAAAAAATAGCTAAAAAAGCAGCTTTTCATTAAACCCCAGAATGACCAACTGATTCCATCCATCCATCCGTGCGTCCATCCATCCGTGCGTCCATCCATCCATCCGTCCGTCCATCCATCCATCCGTCCGTCCGTCCATCCATCCGTGCATCCATCCGTCCGTCCATCCATCCATCCGTGCGTCCGTCCATCCATCCATCCATCCGTCCGTCAATCCATCCATCCATCCATCCGTCCGTCCATCCGTCTGTGCATCCATCCATCCCTGCATCCCTGCATCCATCCATCCATCCGTCCGTCCATCCATCCGTGCGTCCATCCGTCCATCCATCCATCCATCCATCCGTGCGTCCATCCGTCCATCCATCCATCCGTCCGTCCATCCATCCGTCAATCCATCCATCCATCCGTGCGTCCATCCGTCCATCCATCCATCCGTCCGTCCATCCGTCTGTGCATCCATCCATCCCTGCATCCATCCATCCATCCGTCCGTCCATCCATCCGTGCGTCCATCCGTCCATCCGTCCATCCATCCATCCGTCAATCCATCCATCCATCCGTGCATCCATCCGTCCATCCATCCATCCGTCCATCCATCCATCCATCCATCCATCCATCCATCCATCCATCAATCCATCCATCCATCCATCCGTCCGTCCGTCCGTCCGTCCATCCATCCGTGCGTCCATCCGTCCATCCATCCATCCGTCCGTCCATCCATCCGTCCGTCCGTCCGTCCGTCCATCCACCCATCCGTCAATCCATCCATCCATCCATCCATCCATCCCTGCATCCATCCATCTGTCAATCCATCCATCCATCCGTCCGTCCATCCATCCGTGCGTCCATCCGTCCATCCATCCATCCGTCCGTCCGTCCGTGCATCCATCCATCCATCCATCCATCCATCCGTCAATCCATCCATCCATCCATCCGTCCGTCCATCCGTCTATGCATCCATCCATCCATCCATCCATCCATCCGTCAATCCATCCATCCATCCGTCAATCCATCCATCCATCCGTCCGTCCATCCATCCATCCGTGCGTCCATCCATCCATCCGTCCGTCCGTCCATCCATCCATCCATCCATCCGTCAATCCATCCATCCATCCGTCCGTCCATCCATCCATCCGTGCGTCCATCCATCCATCCGTCCGTCCGTCCATCCATCCATCCGTCCGTCCATCCGTCTATGCATCCATCCATCCATCCGTCAATCCATCCATCCATCCGTCAATCCATCCATCCATCCGTCCGTCCATCCATCCATCCGTGCGTCCATCCATCCATCCGTCCGTCCGTCCATCCATCCATCCATCCATCCGTCAATCCATCCATCCGTCCGTCCATCCATCCATCCGTGCGTCCATCCATCCATCCGTCCGTCCATCCATCCATCCATCCATCCATCCGTGCGTCCATCCGTCCATCCGTCCATCCATCCATCCGTCAATCCATCCATCCATCCATCCGTCCATCCATCCATCCATCCATCCGTGCGTCCATCCATCCATCCGTCCATCCATCCATCCATCCATCCATCCGTCAATCCATCCATCCATCCGTCCGTCCATCCATCCATCCGTGCGTCCATCCATCCATCCGTCCGTCCGTCCATCCATCCATCCATCCATCCATCCGTCCATCCATCCATCCGTGCGTCCATCCGTCCATCCGTCCATCCATCCATCCGTCCGTCCATCCATCCATCCATCCATCCATCCGTCAATCCATCCATCCGTCCATCCATCCATCCATCCGTCCGTCCGTCCATCCATCCATCCATCCATCCATCCATCCATCCGTCTGTCCGTCCATCCATCCGTGTGTCCATCCATCCGTCCGTCCGTCCATTCATCCATCCATCCATCCATCCGTCAATCCATCCATCCATCCATCCGTGCGTCCATCCGTCCATCCATCCATCCGTCCATCCATCCATCCATCCGTCAATCCATCCATCCATCCATCCGTCCGTCAATCCATCCATCCATCCATCCGTCCGTCCATCCCTCCATCCATCCATCCATCCATCCATCCATCCATCCATCCATCCATCCATCCATCCATCCATCCGTCCATCCATCCGTGTGTCCATCCATCCGTCCGTCCGTCCATTCATCCATCCATCCGTCAATCCATCCATCCATCCATCCATCCGTGCGTCCATCCGTCCATCCATCCATCCGTCCGTCCATCCATCCATCCATCCGTCCGTCCATCCCTCCATCCATCCATCCATCCATCCATCCATCCATCCATCCATCCATCCATCCATCCATCCATCCATCCATCCATCCATCCATCCATCCATCCATCCATCCATCCATCCATCCCATATATATTCCTGCAACATTAGGTTTGATAAAGATTTTTTATGCAACACTAAAATTGTCAAAGTGAAAACTCCGAACACCTAACAGGCTTAAAGTATTTGCTTATAAATGAGCTGTTTTATAGGGAAACAGTCAAGTGTAACCAGAAAACTTTCCCATAACAGCTTACTCTGTGCTCCAAGCAACAGCCCTTGAAAGACCCAACTAGGAAATTCCATCTTTTTGGCTTTTTAGTAAAACCATTTGAAAGATAATTCCATACTTTTAATAAAATGCTTTAAAACTATCCCATGGTTTATTTATTTCCAGTGTGATTGTGCCCAGTCTGGCTCACTCATCAGAGATATTCAGGATACTAGGGTGCCCTCCGTTTAGTTCCAACCAGACCTCCAGAGTTCCTGGCGGCAGTTTTTACAGTTTTGTGGCAGTTGTTAAGTAAGTTACTTTCATGTTTACCGTCTTAATAAGACTTTTTTTTTAAATATGCAATGCTGAAGAAAATTGTTTTTTTTTTCACACTAGCTACGCAGAAAGCAGCTGTTATTCGATCTGAGTAGTCAATCATGACTTCATATTTTATCTTCAACATATTTTATCTTCATGAAGCTCAGAACGCAAAATAGTTGGTGCTGTTTCTAAAACATGTAAAATATTACTCTAATTACATACTTTTATCAATATTAAATAACTCAACTTAAGACCTACCTTTCATTTTGCACTAACACTGACAATAACTGATATTATTGCTCAGAAGGAGAAGCATGGCAGCAGTCTGGACAATGGAGGAGGAGGGAGAGCTGCAAGGTGGAGGCACCTGCAAATAAATGCTTGTCAATTTAAAAAAAAAGTTTGGGGGAAATTTGATGGCCAAGAAGGTCATTTTTATCTCTAAATATTGATAAATGAGAGGGGAAAAAATTGACTCCAATAGAAACGGGACATTTTTCTTATCCACAGCATACACTGCAAAAAATATTGAAAATAAATAAGTAATTTTTTCTTAAAATAAATGCATTTTTTTCTTGAATTGCGGAGGTAAGTGAGACCCTAATTTACATTTAAACAAGTACAAATACTAATTTTATTGGCAAATCATTTTATTTACCGACTCAAATTAAGATTAAATACACTTTATCTAGAAATGTTCACAATTTCTAGACCATTTTTGAAGTGCATGGGCGCGTGCTTATCTCACTACCTCCCTGTTGTTCCTTATCTGGTAAAGCTTTAATCTAAAATCCATATTTCTATAAGTCACCGTAGATGTACAAAAGTCTCTGCCTTATTTATTTAATTGTTCTCGATCCACTATATCTATGATGACGCACTGTAAATGCCCCCATGCACCTTTTCCTTCTTTTCGTGTCTTCTTCTGACTATTGAGCAGATTTGACAAGTGAATGCCTTCTCTCTGAGATCAATAAAGTCTATCTTATCTTATCCTTTCTTATCTTATGCGATCTTCATCATTGCTGGTTCATTAGGGCTCATTTTTCTTATTAACCCAACTGGAAATACGAAGCGTTTCTATATTATTGTTATTGAACTGATTTAATATTTCAAACCTAAATGTCATATTAGCTGTAAACTCATCATAAAGCATGAAACAAAAGCTTGAAAACATCAGTTTGTCCATTAATCTAATTTTGTTTCACTTGGTGTTACTGCACTGGAAAAAAGTGCTGTTAGAAATAAGTTATTATTTTTTTTAATGAAGTATATTTGCCCTTAATTTGAGTAGGTAAATGAGATAGTTTGCCATGGAATGGGTATTTTTAGTCTTAAAGTAAGATAATTAGATAATATGCACTAGAAATAAGACATTGCAATTATTTTTAATTGCAATGGAATACATTGGCTCTCTCACCTCCTTAATCCAACAACAAATGCACTTATTTTAGCAAAAAAAAATGATCATCTAGATTTCGATTTTTTTGTAGTGTAGTTGGTGTGATCAATTTAGAGCTTCATAAATATTAGTTTAAGAACATTTCTTCTCATTGTGAGCTGATACACTGAAAGGGCACAATCACTTAGCTGAAGTTCAATTAAAGCCAAATAATTTAACGTTTGGACTTTCAGGGTCACAGATGCTTAGAGACAACTTGCTAAACAAATGTAACAAACATTGGAAGTTTCATAGAAACCAGCGAAAAGGCATCTAACTTTGCTTTGTTGCTGACAATAAACCACTGACTACCAGCCAGAGATCTTCAGCCACACACAGCATAACAGATGCTTCACATACATAACAGGCCTGAACTCATACTTTTGCTGTGAGGTACAAACTAATTATAGTCTCTCCAGCCAAAAGTCAAGCCTGAACAAACTCAGAACATTACTGTCGGTTTCCGTAGAGCCCTGCGGGGCAAACAAGCTGGCTGTTCAGCCAGCTTTGAGCTGCATACTGCCGGTCCCCTGAAAAAAAAAAGGAGAAGCTTTTGTTAGACCAGAGTAACGTCTTCTAAGGCACAGTTTCCCAACCTTTTTATGACTTGTGACCACTTCACAAACGACCTAGAAATAAGTAAAAATGTCTTGAAGTGTATTTACCCTTAATTTAAGCAGGTAAATAAGATGATTTGTCAATGGAATCAGTGTTTTTACTCTTAAAATAAGATAATAAAATAACATACAATTGAAAAAAGACAAAGCCATTTCAACCCCTATTTTAAATATAAATTGTCTCTCTAAAACAGACATGGCTGTGGCTTGATGCAAACATGTTTGTTATCTGTCAGAATTCTGAGATAAAGTCAGAATTCTGAAAAAAAGTTAACTGATTTTCACATTTTATTTCAGTTTAACATGTTAAACTGAAATAAAATGTAAAAATCAGTTAATTATTTTTTTTTTTCCAGTGGCCCTAATCCTCTTCCGTACATTTTATTCTTTCCATCTCAAGTAAAAAAAAAAAAAAAAAAAAACCCAACATAAATATGTTGCCTGGAAGATAGAAAGGAATCAAAAATAATTACAAAATAAAATAATATTATAAACTTGTATCTCCACTGAAAAAACAATTTAGAAATAAGTAAAAATGTCTTTAATTAAGTGTATTTACCCTTAATTTAAGCAGGTAAATAAGATGATTTGTCAATTGAATCAGTATTTTTACTCTTAAAATAAGATAATAAAATAACATACACTTAAAAAAAGACAAAGCCATTTCCCCCCCTATTTTAAATATAAATTGTCTTGTTCCACTAACATAGTGTCTCACTTATCTCCTCAATTTAAGAACAAATTCATTTATTTTAAGAAAAACTGACTTAGTTAGATTTCATTCTTTCCATCTGAAGTAAAAAAACAAAACAAAACAACATAAATATGTTGCCTGGAAGATAGAAAGGAATCAAAAATAATTACAAAATAAAATAATGTTATAAACTTGTATCTGCACTGAAAAAAGCAACCTAGAAATAAGTAAAAATGTCTTAAATTAAGTGTATTTAGCCTTAATTTGAGCAGGTAAATAAGATGATCTGCCAATGGAATGAGCATGTTTAATCCTAAAATAAGATAATCAGATAATATGCACATGAAATAGGACAATGCAATTGTTTTTTGTTTTTTTCTTATTTTAAATATAAATTGTCTCATTCCATTGGCAAAGTGACTCACTTATCGCCTCAATTACAACAAGTGCACTTTATGTAAGAAAGATTTACTTATCTAGATTTGGATTTTTTCCAGTGTGGGAACAAAATACAGAACATAAATCATAGTCAGACTGACTTAATTAGTTTTCATCCAGGCACCTGAGCTGCTTTGATGAGCTCCGACAGCTCAGTGTGAAAAACAGCTATCGACTTAGAAAACTGTTTTCTCATTTTGTGCACAAAGATGGCCAGATCTATCAAAGGTTTGCGTGTATAAAAACGTGAGCTATTTCACTGCGCTCGCTAAAAAATGTACAAACTGATCTATCAACAGCGTGCTAAAAGCATTTGGTCTTTAAAACGTGCTAAATAGCGCCTCTTATCAATTTAGTACTTTTCCTGCTATGAATATGCAATATGGGGCGTTTACACGCAAAAGTGCGTCTTGTGGGAGGAGAACATGTAAATATAATAATTTAGCACTCGCAAAGTGATTTATCAAACCTGAAAGCAATTTTGCTAACGGTATCTGACTCTATATTTAACACGTTTCAAAAGAAGGTGCAAATGGTCTGTATGCGTAATTGCGCACACATGGCAGCAGTTATTGTCGCAAGAAGGAGACATCGAAATGAAGCAAGGAGACGCAGAGAACGCATTTTTTCACTCCGTGTGAATATTTTTGGAATGAACGAGGAAACGATCATCAAAACATATCGTTTATCCAGCATTGCCATTTTGGAGCTGTTAGGGGAACAAATGGATTTGGAGCCAGCCACAAGGAGGACCCACGCAATATCAGATATCACAAAACTCCTTGCAACATTGGATCTCCCAATCTCGTTTTTCAGAAGTGCTGTCCGACGTTCTAAATGCCATGTCGCCCTGACGCCCTACCGGAGAACCCCGACCTCTGCGCCTGTGGAGCAACATGCCAATGCTGCGGGGATGCGTTACGCGCAGTAATCTCATCCACAGTCACTTCTTGTGAGCCATTTGGTATGTGCATTTTTCTACAGGCCAATACAAAACACCTGTTTTTTTTTACTGCAGTGAAGCAGAAATTCAGCCACATACCACCTTAGGGAATAAAGGTCGACAAAGTTATATATATATATATCTATATATATATATATATATATATATATATATATATATATATATATATATTTTTTTTTGGAGGGGGTGGGGGTGTCACTGTAAGATTTAAATTTCTCAATGCACTAGTTTGCACAAACTACAAACTACTTTGCCGCAAACCACAAAACCTGCAAAACCATCATTTAAATAGGGCGTCTCCAACAGTTTTGCACCTGCCACCAGTTACGCAATCACTCTTGTTAAATCACCCGCAAACCATGGTTCAGCCCATCGCGCAAAATTCCAGTTTGCGAGCGCAAATTACTGCACGCAAAATTGGATCTTGATAAATCCGGCCCATAGAGTATAGAAAATGACATTTTGTTCCGTTCAGCTCTCAAGACATTTCCATTTCTTAAAGTGCAGCAGTGATAAAATTCTAAACATGGTGATCAAATGTAAACATAGGACTGACATATGGTTTACAGTTTGTTTTTTTTTAATTCAACATTCAGCAGTCGAATGGCAGTGGGGAAGAAGCTGTTTTGGAAACTGCTGGTCCTGCAATGTGTGTGTTTTCTCAGTTATTTCTAGTTCTACCACTGTGTCTCATCAAACTGCTTCTGACTAAAGAACAACAAGTGTTAGCCCATTAACTCCATTCATCTAGTGAATCATTAAAGTGTAATAAACATATGTGTAAAATCCCTGAAGTTGGATCAGCACGAATTGAACAGCATCTCCCTCTCTTATCATCCATGTTTGTTTTTATATTTAGCTGAAAATATGCAGTATAAAGTCAGAGTAAAAAAAAACCCTCATCAATCCAACTGTTAATGTATGAGTAATTGCCCAAATAAACCAAATATCTATTGCTGCCACAATTAGTCAACGTATTGATATGATGACGATGATATTCTTCAGTTTTCCTTTTCCGTCTACGGCTTTTTTTATTTTGCTCTGAGCAAACGGCTCATCTGAGTTCAGTGCAGCTCCGGTGTTCTGTCAGACCAGCATACCCATAGTCAATACCCGTTTATCTCTTTAGTTTTGTACGAAAAATAAACTTTAAACTACCTCAACGGGCGTGTATCCCTTTAATGTACAAAAAAACAATTTAATTACTTGCCTTTTGTTGTTTTGTGAAGCATATAGCGATTACTCCTTAAAATGTTTTCTTTTTGTACATGACTAAACAGATAAACGCATATGTGACGTCTTGTGCAGGTGTATTGACAATAGGCATTCCGGTCTGAAGAGGTATGCTCAAACTGACAGTGCAGCTCCAGGTCATTCTACATAGCAATCCATTCTTTCGGCTTTATCTTTCACCTTTGGAGTTTAACTCCTTTGATATTGATTTATTTTTCATATGCAGAATGAACGTTGAACGTCGCCATGCATGCACGCACTGCAAAAAATCTAAATCTAAATAAGTCATGTTTTTCTTAAAATAAGTGCATTTGTTCTTGAATTGAGGAGGTAGAAGAGACATTCTGCCAATGGAACAAGACAATTTACACTTAAAAAAAACAAAAACACAATTGCATCGTCTTATTTCAATTGCATATTATCTAATTATCGTATTTTAAGGGTAAAATTACTTATTCCATTGGCAAACAATCTCATTTACCTACTCAGATTAAGGGTGAATACACTTAATTTAGGAAAGTTTTACCTTTTTCTAGATCGTTTTTGCAGTGCATTTATAGTAATTTTTTATGCTTTTGAGACGCCACCAGACTGAGACAGAGGGTTTATTGTATGAGCGAACACAGACACAGTATGAATGGCTTCACATTCCAGTGTAATTAGTGGAAAGATTAGACATTAGAAAATTTGTTGTTGGTGGCAGCTCTACAAATATCTCCAAACATTATGCATTCATCTTAACTGCCTAACAATTGTGTTCACCTTCTGAGATTTAACCAGCAACCTTGAAAAATGGAAAAAGAGAAGGAGGATTTAAAGGAAAAGTCCAGTCAGCAAGGAATGATCAATGGATAATTATCTAAACCTAAAACTATTACTCTTAATTAAAAACATTTATCATTCATTGAGTATGTAATAATTTCATATTCAAAGTACTTTGAGAAGTTTGAATTTTGAATATGACCAGACTTCTCCTTTACAAAAAGACTCATTTATTCAGAGTTTAAATCTGTAAGTGGTGAACCTGTTTTCTCTCACTCAGACTCGTACCTGTAAGAGACGAGCCAGCAGCAGTGTGCACAAAACTGTCCATCTGCAGCAAACACTTCAGCGTCTCCATCATGTGCTCCAGCCGCAGAGTGTGCAGCCTGTTGTGACTCAAAGAGGTCCTGCTGTCCACTTCACTCATGCTGGTCTTTAGAGCCACAGAAGCGCACTGGAGGACAGTCATTCCTGAAGGTCAATAAAAGAACTGATTACTGAACATAATGAAATTATCTGTGGTCTAAGCCTGCTTTGCTGCAGAACTCTGGCAAAGAAACACATTCAGTCGGGAAAAACAAAAACAGATTTATCGTCACTAAGGAATTTACTCCATAAGAACCATAATTATATTTTAAAAGGGAAATCAGTAACAATTTCTATCACTATGCAGATGATGCTGTGTTATTCATCAAACCAGCTCACTTTAAGGAATAGTACACCCAAAACATGATTAGCCTTCATTTTCTACTCACCCCCATGCTGAACAACACTCTGGAGTACTTTTTTGATTTCTCAAATGCATCTGGAGATCTGGGAGGCTTCTTGCTGTCTGCTGACATTCAAATAATGGAGGTCTATGGCGCCCGAGGCAGAAAGGTCCATAAAAGTCCACAAAAAACGTGTCAATATTCCTCCATACTGCTCGTCCAATGTATTCCGAGTGTCCTGAGTGGGTAGCGTCCATAATTTACTCGAAACGAAGTCATTTAGAATGTTTTTAGAGCCTAAACAGTAGTGTATAGGATTTCCTGAAAGCGCGTTCACGAGTCTACGGAAACAGCGGCAGACCAAACCAGATGAAAGTGCGCATTCAGCGTCTGCTCTGCCGATAATGCAAGCGTAGAAGAAGAAATGTGCTGTTTACCTGTGCAAAGAAAGAAACAATGAAAGAAAAATGTCTGAGGACTTCAGTGTTGAGGAAGAGCATGAGTTCTTTGCCGAGCTGAATACGCACTTTCATCTGGTTTGGTCTGCCGCGGTTTCCGTAGACTCGTGAACGCGCTTTTAGGAAATCCTATACACTACTGTTTATGCTCTAAAAACATTCTAAATGACTTCATTTCGAGTAAATTCTGGATGCTACCCACTCAGGACACTTGGAATACATTGGACGAGCAGTATGGAGGAATATTGACACGTTTTTTGTGGACTTTTATGGACCTTTCTGCCTCGGGCACTATAGACCTCCATTATTTGAATGTCAGCAGACAGCAAGAAGCCTCCCAGATCTCCAGATGCATTTGAGATATCAAAAAAGTACTCCAGGGTGTTGTTCAGCATGGGGGTGAGTAGAAAATGAAGGCTAATCATGTTTTGGGTGTACTATTCCTTTAAACTCTTAAGTTTTGTTTTACTGCTTTCTAAATTTGGAAATCATCTGCCATTATTTTTAAATTCTGCAGTTCCATCATACAGTTTATCCTTATTTCACTTATCAAAAAAATAGTGATATAAACAAGACTTTACCAGAGTTATCAGTGGCTTCCACATCAATATACAATCCATTCATCATCTGTTGTTTTAAAACCTGGGAGGAAAAAAAAAAAGAAATATGGAAGCTTTATAAAGGAAAAGCAGTTTTCCTATTACTACTACTGTAAGGAGGTAAATAAAAATGCAGGTTAGTTAAAGGTGTAGAGGACACTCTTTTATTTCCCGGTGGATCATCTTTGGTCCTCCTAACTGTCAATCATTCTGGTCATATGTTTACATCAGGCTGTCCAACGTGCTCGTCCTATGTCCTTTTCTGCGCAGGCGCATATCTACGGTTTCAGACAGTCATTGAAGCTCACCCTTCTCACCGCGGTTCTTTGAAAATGGCCGAGGGTCGAAAAGATAGGCCTCAGAAGAGGCAGATAGATCCCAGAATGCTTTGCACGGAGAGCTCACTTTTCGAGACATTATGGGATTTGCTGTCAAAGTGGCCCGCTGTCCTTTTCCGGCGGCAACTGATAACAAAGATGGCGCAGGCATCGCTCAGTGGAAGAGGAGGTATGTGACCAACAGGGAGTAAAAAGCAGTGATCATCTGTCCCAACGGTAAGTTACCTGAGCTTGCCATAAAGTCCGCGAAAGTAAAAGGGCACTGTCGTAAATATGCTCAGCTGTTGGTTTCTCCGTCAAGCCAGGCGCGGTTGTTTTGAGCTTAGCAGACAGGCGAACGCAACGAATCACCATGTTTACTGCGGTGAGTGACTATTTTGTTCCAATTTTTGAGTTTGAAAATTTAGCATGTTGTCATACATTATTTGTTATGCATGTGTCTAAATAACAAAGATTGTAGTTAGCCAAGTTCTCGCCATAAAGCAAGACCGACTCTGCGATGCATGAGACTTCTGAGCCTGTGGGTGCGGGCCGAGGGCTCCTGCAATTGCAAGTACGGTATTTCCCCTACAGACCACCAGGGCGGCCCAGAAAACCTTTGTTCGACCTGAAATGACACATTTAATCATCCAAAACGTTATGGAACACATTAACTGAAAAATGTTGCATAGTATGGCTTTAATGAACGATGAGAACAGTAACTTTTAAACAGAGCATGCATGAAGAGAAACGGGCTTGTGCACGCTCTCACATGCGTTTAATAGGCGTTCCCTCTCAGGAGCGGGTACAGGGTTGTACATGTGCATAAGTGGAAAGGACAGGTCTTTTAAAAAAAAAAAATCGCAAAAATCCTCCACAATACCTTTAAGTTAGAAAGCATGTTTTTTTTTTTTTCCAAAGGTGTGACAAAGGATTCTAAAACAAGAGAAAGCTTTTACTGCTCTGAAAAGAAGATCTACCAAAATCTGTTTTTGGTCAAAGACTTTGGGAAGACAGAACTTCCTAAGTCCAACACAAGATTTCTATACCTCCTTTAAAAAATGTTGATGTTTTTATAGATTTAGATTTCTTAGATTGTAAAGTCAAATACTCTTTTATTGTTTAATTTAAGTACAAACTTTCAATCTGACTGTTCCAGGACAGCAGGGAGCAGAATGGAGCACCTTGTACTGCAGCTTTGCGTGTGCCATGCATGTATGCTTGCAAAGAAAAAACAAAACAAAACAGTTTCCTTGTGGAAGAAAATACTAGAAACCTAGTTTTACTCTGTATGCATTTATATCCCTTAATTCTTCTCAGTGCTGATCAAAAGTACAGCTCAAAGCTATATGAAGTGCATTACAGGTGAGGTGAAAATCTCCTTTCTGTCAATATTCTGTGTGTTACTTGGATAGTGATCAGAAAAGATTCAGTCACGCTGAATAGGGGGTTTTCAGGTGACGTCACGCTCACGTGACTACTCAGCGGGTCCGCCATATTGGGTGGCAGTCGTTTCGCACCGTTGACCCTGCATTGTATGACGCCTTAGGCAGTATTGACAGTGAAAAATGGTGAAAACGTGTTTAATTGTTGGTTGCACGGCCCGTGGAGGTGGAGATCAACGCTCTTTCTATCGCATACCAGCCGTAATCGTGAATCAATGTGAAAAAACAAAACAGCTATCTGAACAACGCCGTCATCTATGGCTGACACGGATATCCAGGTCCGATTTGGACGGTGTTAAGCTGGAACACGCCAGAGTCTGCAGTGCTCACTTTGTCACAGGTAATTAACTGTCAAGCATTTAAAACATGTAAGAATATATTAATAATAGGGCTTGGGCGTCATGACGTATTACTTTCCGTGGCCGCAATGTTGACTGCCTCCGCCGCCGCTACTCAGACTACTGCCTATGACTACCGCGTACTGGACTCCCTCTCTCAGCCGTGTTTTAATTTGATTAATTTCGCCTTTACTTGATTTCAACCAGCGGGAAAAGGCTCAAATATGTGAGAAACCCGGAGGGTTTAGGGAGGTTTGGCAGTTAACGTTACTAACCAAACCTTTGAAACACATAGCAGCTAGTTAAAAGTACATTACATGCCTGAGTGGTTGTTAGCACTAACGGTTAACACTGTTTGCTGGCTTTATGAGCTGCAGCTACTGAACCCATCCATTCGTAAACTGCACATGAGATAAATAATTAAAGCCGCGAGCGGCGTCGATCGGCCCTGCAGCGTTCGCGCACCACCGGCCGCTAGCCACCTAGCATAGCGAGCCCTGCGTTGGATTGTTTACATTTTTACCATCTTATTAAAACTCACCCGTCCACGTATGATGGCGATTTCCTTCATGTACATCACTTCGACATCTCGTACCCAACCAGATGTGAGCTGGTTGTGAGCCTCTAGACCCTTGTACGCTCTCATTTCCTCAAGAGTGTGCAGAGGGTTTTCACTGAACACCAGGTAATGAACTATGTCGCCGTGCTCTACATTTGGCCAATCATCTGGATTACTGCTAAACAAGGCACCGTGGAGGGCATAGGGGTCCATATGGTCGATCATGGAGCATTTCCTCAGATATGTTCCATGATCTGGTGTCTCTAGCGTGCTGGCGTACTTATCCATTCGCGACATGATATATATGATATACGATAATATGCCACCCATGGCGGACCGGAAGCTGGCCAGTGACGTCACTGAAAACCCCCTATTGAGATCCGGTAAAATAAGTATCTCAAATCTGCCTGAAATCCAACCTTCCTTATGATGAAGGTGAATCCAATTTCCTATTTCTTTGATCCAAAATGGTCCCCGGCTCCTAAATGTTTGGACCATTGCTCACAACAAGTTACACATGTGCACACAATTTCACAATCCTTGTTTAAAGAAGGGTTTGAATCTATGCAACGAAGTGGGAGGGATTAGGTAAACTCAAAAAAACATAATCTGACCTCTAGCACTCTTATATAGCCATTTTCAGCACTCAAGTGGAGGCAGGACTTCCCCAGGTTGTTTCTCTGGTTAATGTTTGCTCCCAGCTGGATCAAATCTGCCACAATAAGGTGCTGGTTGTGATTTGCAGCGTAGAGGAGGGCAGTCTGTGAATACAAAGTGTGAGCAGTTTGTTAACACAGTGTGCAGGTTGTATTCAATCTCTTTTTTTGTTTATTTTTTGAAAATCAATCAAAAAAAAAGATCTGGGATTTTCATTCATCCTCGCTTCAACATACTAGACTCCAGTATAGACAGATTAGCAGAACATGCCTCCATAATATGCTGGTGAAGATTCTCAGTCATCCAGGTCATAGTCATTCCAAAAAAGAAAGAAAAAAAATAATCAATTGGACTTTTATTTCCAAGTTTGAAGACGTTTTGCTTCCCATCCAGGAAGTTTGTCAGAAATAGTGTTGAATTGCTTTATACAGTAGCCCCACAAAGCCTTGGTTTTGCTTAGACAACATGCTAATTGAAATCTGTTCCCCTGTAAATACAGGCAATGAAGAAAATTATGGACAACAGTGAGCATCCTCTTCAGAAGATTTTTAAACAGCAGTGTCTTCAGTCAGAGGCTTCTCTAGATCCGGTGCAAGACAGACCTCTACAGAAGATCCTTCCTGCCTACAGCTACCAACACCTGTTTAAAAACTAACCTATGAGTTACTGCAACATTTAATTTCCCTTTGGGATTGATTAAGTACTTTGGGTTGAATTTGAAGGACCTCTTTAGAGATGGACGGATCAATAGTTTTCCATCGGCTTGATTATCTTTTTTAGATCACAGCATGATGTGTTGCCTCTTAAAACCTCTCCTGGTGTCAGACAGGTTCTATTCAAGTGATTTGGTTCAAATATCTTGTTTACCATTGGTTATTAAAGTTTACTTTTTGTCTTAACACATATCTAATATTGATTCTTGTTGATTATTTGAAAATGTGACACAAGGTTCAAACAATAAGATATTTGTAATTCTATGAAATCTAAGCTGTAATACTGTCGTTTAACACCTTTACCGATTTAAGATGATTGATTTTGGTGGCCAAAGCCATAGAATAACATTATTTTAGATGTAAGTTTGCTAAATGAATGAGTTTAATGATAGATTGCTGTGTGGTTGTGCCGTACCATTCCACTGGAGTCTTTCAGGTCCAGGCTGTTGATGACAGCCATTCTCGTGGCGATGGCGTACGCCTGCGCTCTCTTTCCCACACACACCACCCTATGCAGGAGTCTGGAGGGAGAAGCACAGACAAACCAGAAAAGAATGAATATTGTTTCATGAATCAAAAGTGATTGGTCTAAAAATTGACTACAATGCATTTTCTGCTGGCGATGCTAAAAAGGCGGCTGCTACGATGAGTCAAGTGTTGCCTGCAATTCAGTTATTTCATTTTTTATTTCTTGCTCACCGAGTTTAATATCGCTTTGAGGACAGAAATACACCTAAGGTTGACTCTGACTCAACCACAACTTATTTGAAATGGAAAAATCGAAATCTAGATTAAATAAATGCATTTGTTCTTGGATTGAGGAGTTAAAAGAGACATTTTGCCAATGGAACAAAACAATTTACGCTTAAAATAAGAAAACACAATTGAATTGTTTTATTTCGAGTGCTTGTTATCTAATTAGCTTATTTTAAGAAAAACACTCTTTTTATTTGCAAACTATCTCATTTACCTACTCAAATTAAGGGTAAATACACTTTAATATTTTACATTTCTGGATCATTTTTCCAGTGTACACTTATTAAGCTCTATTGGTACTCAGCTAGCACTGGAAACTCCCCTCAATTGCCTTCAGGGCTGGACTGGGAGATTTTTTCAGGCCAGGAATCAGTCGTGTAAGCAGGCCAGGGTGACACGATTTCTGTGGTAGTAAAATAAAATAGGGCTGCGGTCTGTTTTGCGTTGTGAGGACCCAACTAAAAAAAAGAAAAAAAGCTTTTATCAACCAAAAAATAAGTTTTTATACTTGTTGGTATAAAAACAGACTGGGATCAGCTGGTGTTCACACTGAGCTATCAGAGCTCATCAAAGCAGCTCAGGTGTCTGGATGAAAACAAAGTAAAATGAATTTAATTCAGTCTGATTATGATTTTTGTTCCCAATTCAGCAACTTTAAATATGATTATAGGGCAGCTTATTTTTTTATAAATACAGGTTTATAATATGATTTTATTTTGTATTTATTTCCATTTCTTACTAACTTCCAGGCAACATATTTATGTTTTTTTTTTATTTTAGAAGGAATGCATACATTTATAAGAATTAAATACTTAAAAGTTAAAAGTCTTTATCTCAGTTACTGTACGTTCCGCTTTTAGACAATCATCAATTCTCTTGAATGAGAGGGAGACTCATGGTACGAAAAAATACCCAAGGTGGGAAAAAAGGCTGGGAAACACTGATCTAGAAAGACCTACTTTAATTTCTAAGGTTGGAATATACAGTAACTTTACCGCTGTAATTGCAATAGTACTAAGATAATAAAGGTTTTACATATTTAAGTAGTGCCAAAGTACTAAGTAGTGACTTAAAAAAAAAAAGAGAGAAAGAGAGACGCAGGCCAGCACTTCGGGAATATCCCGGTTCTCACTATGGCAAGTCTGGGCATAGGTGTCTCTATTTATAGAGGAGAAGCAAGTACAAGCAAGTACAGACTAATACTGTTGCAAGTAAAGATGACTTTTAGAAAAAAGAGGAATTTTGATCTATATCCTTAGATGTATGATGAAAATACAAATTTTTCTGCTAAAAAATAAGAATGAAACACAAAACAATGAGTCAGTAGGAGAGAGAGATAGAGAGGGAAAAAAACACAGGAAACAGTGAAAATGTATGAATTTTCACAAACAAAAAAAGGTTAAAGTTGTGATCATATAATATTATTTTCCAATAGTGAGAAACCTCAGCAAAGTTATAAAGGTGTATAATATGTAGTCCACTTGCCCCAAAACCCATTTAAAATACAGGCAACAGTCATTTTTCTGATATATATATATATATATATATATATATATATATATATATATATATATATATATATATATATATATATATATATATATATATATATATATATATATATATACATATACAGAGAGAGAGAGAGAGAGAGAGAGATATGCATTAGGTATATGAAATATTCTTTCTTTAAATAAGGGGGCGTTAGAACTCCCCCCTACCCCAACATAAAATGGTTTGACCAGGACAACGGCGGGCTGGAACTTTTAAAGTTGTTTTCGCTGCAAACTAAGAATGTCAGGTTTTCAGAAGTCCAGTGCCAGTTGACACCAAAAGCTTGAGGGATTTTATACGGATCAGGAAGAGAATTGCAGAAGAATGATGCCCATTCAGAGCCAGGTAAGAAGCAATGCGTTTGTGATTTTAAAGTATAGCATCCGCTAGTTAGTGTGAGGGGGAATAGTCATTTTCTTTTACAGAAATACTGGAGCTTAGCACCCAAAGAGCAGAAAGATGGCAGAGGTCTAGGTACAATGTGAAAGACAGAGTGGAGCAGGAGAGTCAGCTGAGGCGGGGAGCTTGGTTGACCGAGAGAAAGGGGGAGAGTGTGTTTTAGGAGGAGACAGTGCAGACAGTGCAGGTGGAGGAACTTTCTGCTCAATGGGAGAGTCTGAGCATAGTGGCTCAGAGACGGATCACGCCATTATTTTCAGTGATCCTGCGCTGCAGCCAACAGAAAAGACTGATTCTGATAGAATGAATGTTGTGTGTTTAATGGCAAAAGAAACTCTTTCACAGACACAGCCAATGAATTGCCAGCAGATTTAGAGGGCAGAGAATCCCTAAAGTACCTAACATATTCTAACTTCCACAAGGGAAGGGAAAATTTTGTTAGAGACTGGATGATGTCAGCGGGTCAAAAAAGTTCTCCTATGAAGTAGAGAAAATATCAACTGTGCACTATATTCAATATATGGGATGAAAATATCCAACAAAATACAGAAAGTTATGAAAGATTTCCAGGCAGTGGCGCCACCAGGGGGCAGCCAGGGCCACCCTGTGCAATGCCCTGGTCGCCCCACTCGCCAGTGTAAATTGTAGTAGCATCAGTTTAGCATTTCATCCCATTATGCACAGCCAGTGATATTTACTTAAGTCTGTATGATTTCCAGAGATGGGAAGTAACCAAGTACAAATACTTAGTTACTGTACTCAAGTAGATTTTTCTGATATTTTTACTTTACTTTACCACTTATTTTTATGGAGACTTTTTACTTCTACTCCTTACATTTTTACACAAATATCTGTACTTTCTACTCCTTACATTTTAAAAAATTGGCTCGTTACTTTAGTTTGGAATCATTTCAATGGAGTTACCGTTATTATTTTTCACGTCATCAATACCAAATTCGATCTAATTGGATGGGAATCTACGTTGCATTTGACGCACCACTACAAGATGAATCGACAGATTCTGCGGTATTCATTGGCGGCAAATCATTGCAGCTTGGTGGCGGCTTTTAACAGGGTGTTCTCCCTAAGGCAAGGCAAGGCAATTTTATGTTTTATAGCACAATTCAGTAAATGGGCAATTAAAAGTGTTTTACATGAATTAGATAATGAAATTGAAGACAAATAAAAGCAGAATAAACATGTTAAAAGTTAGGAAAGAATATAAAACAGTTGGATCACAACTTTAAACTAATAAAACATGAGTTAGCAGTTTATATTATAACAGTCAAAAGCAGCTCTTCTGTAACTTCAAAGAACTTAAGGCTTTCAGCTCTTTTCCAGTCTTCTGGGAGTTTGTTGGTTCTAGTTCTGGGTGAATAGAGTAGGCTGGAACTAGAAGACCTGAGTGGTCTGGGAGGTTGATCCACTGACAACAGACCTGTTATGGATGAGGTGCTGATCTATTCAGTGATTTCTAGACTAACAGAAGGGTTTTAAGGTCTATTGTCTGAGCTACAGGGAGCCAGTGGAAGGACTTCAGAACCGGGCTGATGTGCTCTACTTTCTTGGTTCTAGTGAGGACTCAGGCAGCAGAGTTCTAGATCAGCTGCAGGTCTGATGAACTTTTTAGGCAAACCAACGAACCAATCAATTCTACTAAAGATAAATGCATGAATGAGTTTTTTTTTTTTTTAGATCCTGTTTGGAGTCCTTTAGCCCTGGAGATGTTCTTCAGGTTGACTTAGTATCTGCCTTTATGAGCCACCGAAGGTTCAGGTCCGAATCCATCATGACACCAAGGTTTCAGGAATAATCAGTGGTTTCTAGCTGGAGTAGCTGAAGCTAACTCTAGATCTCTCCTCCTTTGGTCTGAGAGTTATTACCTCAGTTTGGTTTTTCCTCAATTGTAGTAAGAATAATGATCTGTTCTAAGCATCTAACCAACACTCTGATAGGTTCATAGTCATCTGGTGACATTGGGATGTAAAGCTGTGTGTCGTCTGCATAGTTATGGTAACTGATCTTGTTTGCTATAATCGGAGCTTAACCTGACTCCGCCAGATGGATTTGCTCTGCATATCCATCTGGAAACCTTCCGTTGAAGTAATTTTGGGAAGGGGCGAAAATACTGGTTAGCTGATTGGCCTATGTTGGTGATAGACGGGCCAAATAAACCAATAAGATCAACGAAGCATATGACGTACTAACAGAGCGACGACGAAAACACAACCACAAGCCAAGCTTGCCGAAACCAGTCGGGAGAAGAGCAAAAACATCTTTTCCTCTGAGAAAAGCCTCCAGAGCAGTGTTTTGCTCTTCTTTCAGTGAAGAAATACTCTGTAATTCCGATAAAACTTGCTCAATAGCCACGCTAACGCTAGTTTCATCGGCTGAAGCTGCCATGTTCTTTAGACTGAACTGTCGCGCTTCTCGTTGCGTCACACCTCAACCCGCCTCAAAGCCAACTCTGATTGGACGTTCGTTTGGCGAAGGGTTCCAAATTTTCTTTAACGGAGAGTCTCCAGACTGATCTGCGAGTGAAACCTCGAAAGCTTGCGAGATCACGATGGTCTCAAGAGGCTAATCTGAGCTAAGGGGAGGGTATAGATATGAAATTGGAGGGACCCCAGAATGGAGCCTTGAGGAACCCCACATGTGATTTTTCTGGTCTCTGATTTAAAGTCCCCCAAATGACGCATAGAAGTCCCTGTCCTTTAGGTAGGATGTAAACCAGTCCAGTGCTCAGGGGCGGATTTTGGAAATTTGGGCCCTCAGCAAAAACAGGCAGGGGGCCCTCTGAATTGAGAAGACTAGGGGGCTGAGACACACTTCATACTATAAGCGTTCTGATGCCATTTTAGCGAAAGGATATTTATCAAAAACATAATTAAGAAGCACAAATAAGCAATAGTTGTATGAACCATACATGTGAACAGACTTTTATGGGGCCCCCAGTAACT